TAGTAAACAATCGCGAATAAAACAGGTAGGCCCTAGCTGTCAGGTCATGGTGTCGCGCGCACTGATACGAACAGAGAGAAAATAGGACCAAGTGATAACGATGTGTGACTTTTTCCACTACAATGTTTTTGGGATGCAAAAATATCACTCTTTTGAACACATAATGTTTTGGGAAGAGAAACGTTTTATTTCGCTGGGTCTAGCAAACCTGCCGGACTACTTTCGGCTTGACCAAAGCTGGACGAGAACTCTGCTCACAGGATGCTGCCAGGGGTAAGTCAGTGTGATTGCATGACACTGGTGATGGGGATGCCATACAGATTCATGTCAAAAATCCCGAAGAATCCCTTTAAGATGGCAACACATTTCCAATGGCAGATGTCTAACAAAAATAAAAGGTTGTTTTATATTAAAAGGTCAGTAATATTTTGCGGCTCTAAATGACTTTTACTTAGCCTACGGTGAAAAAACGTCACGTTCCCGGGACATATCCGTATTTCACGTCCTGTCCCGGGCATCCCGGGTTTTTTTCAGAAAGTGAGGAAATGTCCTGATTTTTTAAATTACCTTCATTGGACCATTATATTTACAGGCACTAGGGCACCGCGCACGGCGCTGCGTGTGACGTAATCCCTGAGCCGCGTCAGTGCAGGCAGCCCTGTTCTTAATCAGAATATAGATTGCGTGGCTGTCAGTAAGCCAACAACATGCAAAAGCGCAAATGTATGTTTACCGACGATTTCAGACTTTCAGACCGGGTCGGGACAAATGGGAGGCCTTGTGCACATATGTCTCGGTGTCCAACGGAGGTGCAAGGGATCTGAAAAGCCACCTGGACACCGAAAGTAAAGATAGTCTATTGATATGTTTGTTCGTTTTTAGTACATTTTGAGTTACTTTTCCTACACAAGAGGTATTTTTTGTTAATTAGCTCATTTGTTAATTTATTTTTTCCAATAGCCTACAGAACAGACATTATTTCGTTCATTGCTGAGGATCATGTGTTAAGTGAGGGATGTTTAGATGAGACATTATTTCTTTCATTGTGCTATTCATTCATTACAGGAATTGTTAAGCATTTTTTAATAAATACATTTTTAATAAAATTATCAGTTGTATTTGGAGTTATTGCTGTTGACTTTCACTGAAAAGCATTTTTAATAAATCAACTGTAAATATCATGTTATTGTAGGCTTACGTAGGCCTATGTTAAGTGAGTGCATGCCACAGACATCTCTATGCATGGGAACAGAACGATTAGAACAAATGTCTCAAAACAATGAAAAAATTATAGAGCATACTGTATATATTGAGTTTAAATGAATTAAAATATGAAATGTTAAAATTCACTTCATATAAAAAAAACAAGTTATTGGTCTCCCTTCTGTCTTGCTGCGAAGCTGGTTTGTTCATGAAGCTACAGAGTGCTGCTCTCTGTAGTGAAGGAAATGTGGAGAAAACAGTCAAGACAGTTTGTTGCTAAATTTGGGAACTTTTCAGACATCTAGATTGTTATCTTCTATTTCGCAAAAAGCCACAACAGACAAATCTAGTAACTTTTCTGTTGTTTTTTTTTTTAGAAGTGTAGCTGCATACGGCTAGATCGTAAGAAGGTTTGCATGTCTTAAACAGGTGCAAACGTGTTTATCCATGCAGGGCAGATTTTCAATGAAGGTGCAAAGTTTGCAATTCAGCGTGAGCAAACATTCTTTGTGTGGTTGCCTTTATTAATATGCAGATTGTATTCTAATAACCAAACTGGGCAGATTAGGGGTGGAAGACATGCAAATGTCAACATTTACCAGATGCAAAGAGATTTTTTTAAATCAGAAACAACTGTGATACTTTAGCATTTTTTGCATCTTTTTTTTGCATTTCTGAAAGTTTGTTAAAGGCTGATTCGCAAAACTATCTGCAGACAAAAAAAGCCATTGATAGAATCTTAGAATTAGAGAGATAATCTCTGCGCGGGTGAGTATAAATAGTAGAATAATATTAATAACGAAAAAAGAAATTAATGCAGCAGTATGGCAGAATAACCTTTATACAATTAAACCAAGACAAAAAAAAATTACTGAACTTGATCTCTTTGCGGCAGGGGTAGTTTTCTCCTTTGATATGATAAAACATTGCCGTGCATGAAGCATTTTCATTAAATTTTACATTTACGTGCTCTATAAATTTTATTTAGTATTATTTTCTTTTAAACAAAATCTGTTTGCAAGTCTTAAAGGAAAAGTTTGGTCAGCAAGGAGTAATCAATGGATTATTATTTATACCTAAAACTAATAAATTTGCAGTGATTTAATAAATTTAGCATTAATCAGTAAAAATCTAAAAATAATTTTCGTCTCGATCACTGAGTCCGGGAGCGGCCATTTTTGCCCAAACATAGTTAACACCTCACTCCTGACATCTTCCAGCAGTGACGTCATGGTGCGGTAAGCCTAGCGCCATTCTCCCCGCTTTACAAGAAAAATCAATGGGAACTACTAGACACATCTGCAATCAACAATGATTGAAGATTTTAAGAGGACTTCACCATTGAAATTCACCAGAGCTATAGTGAAACTTTGCATTGCCAACTTAACGAGGGAGGATTTGCCATCGAACTTCTGGCCAGAGAAAAAACACATACACTATATTGCCAAAAGTATTTGCTCACCTGCCTTGACTCACATATGAGCTTAAGTGACATCCCGTTCCTAATCCATAGGGTTCAATATGACGTCGGTCCACCCTTTGCAGCTAGAACAGCTTCAACTCTTCTGGGAAGGCTGTCCACAAGGTTTAGGAGTGTGTTTATGGGAATTTTTGACCATTCTTCCAGAAGCGCATTTGTGAGGTCGCACACTGATGTTGGACGAGAAGGCCTGGCTCTCAGTCTCCGCTCTAATTCATCCCAAAGGTGTTCTATCGGGTTGAGGTCAGGACTCTGTGCAGGCCAGTCAAGTTCATCCACACCAGACTCTGTCATCCATGTCTTTATGGACCTTGCTTTGTGCACTGGTGCACAGTCATGTTGGAAGAGGAAGGGGCCAGCTCCAAACTGTTCCCACAAAGTTGGGAGCATGGAATTGTCCAAAATGTCTTGGTATGCTGAAGCATTCAGAGTTCCTTTCACTGGAACTAAGGGGCCAAGCCCAGCTCCTGAAAAACAACCCCACACCATAATCCCCCCTCCACCAAACTTTACACTTGGCACAATGCAGTCAGACAAGTACCGTTCTCCTGGCAACCGCCAAACCCAGACCCGTCCATCAGATTGCCAGATGGAGAAGCGCGATTCGTCACTCCAGAGAACGCGTCTCCACTGCTCTAGAGTCCAGTGGCGGCGTGCTTTACACCACCGCATCCGACGCTTTGCATTGCACTTGGTGATGTATGGCTTGGATGCAGCTGCTCGACCATGGAAACCCATTCCATGAAGCTCTCTGCGCACTGTTCTTGAGCTAATCTGAAGGCCACATGAAGTTTGGAGGTCTGTAGTGATTGACTCTGCAGAAAGTTGGCGACCTCTTCGCACTATGCGCGTCAGCATCCGCTGACCCCGCTCCGTCAGTTTACGTGGCCTACCACTTCGTGGCTGAGTTGCTGTCGTTCCCAAACACTTCCATTTTCTTATAATACAGCTGACAGTTGACTGTGGAATATTTAGGAGCGAGGAAATTTCACGACTGGATTTGTTGCACAGGTGGCATCCTATCACAGTTCCACGCTGGAATTCACTGAGCTCCTGAGAGCGACCCATTCTTTCACAAATGTTTGTAAAAACAGTCTGCATGCCTAGGTGCTTGAATTTATACACCTGTGGCCATGGAAGTGATTGGAACACCTGATTCCAATAATTTGGATGGGTGAGCAAATACTTTTGGCAATATAGTGTATTTAGCCAACATTTGGAAGAAGAATGTTTTCAAGATGACTTGGATAATAGTGCGTTGTGACAAACACCAGATACAGCACTGGGACTTGATCAACAGCCGATACGGCACCGTGACGTCACAAACCTGTAGGTGGCAGTAGTGTTCTTTGACAAACATGGATGCCTCCAGTAAAGCACGTTCAAATGAAAATTACTCTTAATTAAAAACACTTATGATTTATTGAACAGTTTGTAATAATTTCATATTTAAAGTACCTTTCAAAAGTTTTAATTCTGAATATGGCCGGACTTTTCCTTTAACACTTAGGCAGCGATCTTTGTAGATAACCTGCAAAATGCTGACAAATGACAGAGATAGCAAAAAAAAAAATAAAAAAAATTACATGCAATTTAGCACCTCTTATTAGGAATCTTTTCCATAAAGATCAGGCCCTTTATGGAAATGCAGCAATTGTAATTATATTACTGTCTAACTACAGTGTTGTCTCACATGCAGCTGAAGAGCAAAGAGAGCATAGAGGGAGCTGTTCTGTTTTCCCACAGATAAGGTATAACACATGCACACAGCTCCCGATGATTCCACCCTGGATTACAAAGCAGGAAATAGATGTAATGTAAATAGAGTTTTTAATCAAGTCTTAGTTTTTCTCTAATGTTGAGCTCAATTAATGGCCTGATCACCACACAGCTTAAATCACTTATTCACCTCGTAGTGCAAGGTCCGCTAAATACTTTCATTTTGATGTGATTTCACATATATG